CGCTGCCTTTCAGATATTTGTTCCGTATAGCGAAAACCTGCGATTTCAATACTTGAAAGCGTCTCATAGGTTTAATTCCACTTTTTGTATGCATTTTGGTTATTATCCAAATTTTATTATTCATTTATATAAGCACGTATTAAATGTTTGCATATTTCGGTTGGTTCCTTTTTTTATTTACGAGGAGTGAGGCCTTACACCTTCATAACAAAATTGTCCAAGTAAAATAAAATACGTTGATATTTGTTATATTTTCAAATTTGCGTTTTATTTGGTTTTTGTATACAATATAGCAATTTTATGTAAACAGAGAATTATGCTACAGGTGTTTCTTGTAAAAACAAAATAAAAATTTTGATGAAAAGTTTTTCTGAGTTTTTGTCCACTTTAAAAAATTATGCATTTTGCTCATTTTCAGACACATGCCGATTAGTTTTTGGTAATTTTGAGCGACATTGGCAGAGGTTTTTGGTAACTTGGTAAGATATTGCTGTTTTTCAAAGTAAAGGCTCTCTTAGCTTGTAATGTAGACGTGCCGTTCAACCGACTTTCAGTACCAAATTTCGTATACAAACTGCGAAGCCGATGTCACTTTTTGCCAGCGCGGTAAAGTTTTTCATAGACAGTCGTATAGGCGGACAGGGAGACGTAGTTGGCATTTTTGTGACCTTCTTAATAACATAAAGTTGTCAAGTTGTAATAACATAGAACTGTCATAGTTTTTATCCAACTTAATATCCAGAAAAAAAAACTTAATATTTACTATTTTTTATTTTGTAAAGAAATTATCCATGCGTTTGCAAATTCTTTTTTTACACTTTTTCTTAATATTTTCTTTGTTATTCTAATTATTAGGGCGCAGGATGATAGCACCCTGAAAATTTTCTCGATATTACAATATAAAACAATATTCAATAAATAAGAATGCCTTGAATAATCTCTTTTTTTGTCAGTCAGCTGTTCTCTCTCACTACCGTGCAGACTATTTTTAAAAAATTGCTTTTCATCTTCATGCAGCTACGATTAGTCGTTTCAAGCTGCTTGTTATTTTTGTTCTCTCTCTCTTATTGTTCGTTAATATTAAATATTAGTCACAACGAAAAGTACATATGTGTCGTCATATTTAACTTGTGTCAATGTCAAATTATTTACGTATATATGTAATCGTCTGAAATTGGGTGAAAAGAGATTCCTGTTTTGAATTTCTAGACACTTCCAACGAAAGAAATGCATAAACAAGTGTAACGTATGTTTACAATAATGATAAGTTTCTGCAAACAAAATATTGTACATTCTATTCGTGCGACTGATGTGTTCGTTCTTATTTTTAAATTAAATTTTTAAAAGAATTTTAATAGAATTTTTATGACACATAATTATACAAAAAAAATGTAATTATTATTAAAAACGAATAATTAATAACTTTTGTTATTTGAATCTGTTGATTTCGTCATGTTTTTCAAATTTTGTAAACTCCTCTTGAGTAGCCGAGTAGGTAATAAATCGTGACTATCAGTTCGGGGTTCGAAGGCTCACCCACAAGGCTGCGCCCGGTACCATATTTCTTTTTTCTGTTCCCTCCTTTCTTTCATCGTGTCGCAGGAATGAATGGTCATATTAGGAAAAAAACTGCAATTAATTTGTATGAAATTCAATATTTATTTTGCCCACATGTTTTTTTGTTCGCAGAAACGTTAACAACAAGAAAATGTACAGGACCTTGTGTTTGCAAAAAAAAAACAAGTGTGTTTTTTTAAAACTAAATAGATCATATTTTGTATTAGCACTAGTTTTAAACCCTACAGTGTTTATGCCCTACTGTGGTGTAGGGTATATTAAGTTAGTACGGTCGTATGCAACACGCAGAAGGGCTTAAGATAGACCCACCTCTTATTCTACCGATCGAACTAGAATCATAACCGGAACTAATGTAAGCCTGTCTGTCCGTCTGATGTCTGCCCATGCAAATTTGTGTTCAAGCTACAGGTCGCAGTTTTTTAAATATTTTGATGAAATTTGGTAAAGTGATGTGTTTTAGCACAAAGACGAACGCTATTGGAAATGGTTCTGGTCGGTCCACTTTTTCGACCACTCCCCACATAAAGACCAATTCTGAAAAGTTGTTATGTGGAAAAATATTATAATTTTCAAAATTTTTCGGCAAAAATGTTTAAGTAATAGTATTTCGGCATTCTAAATTGATATCAAAACTTTGAACCGTCTGAGGAAATTATTGATTTCCCTCTCATATAAGGAAAACTGAAGTTCATACGACAAAAAGGTATAATTTTCAATGCTTCACGATGAAAATTAGATCGCAACAGTAATTTAACAGAAAAAAATTAGCTGCGCCAAGTTTGGACTATGTCGGTCAATTTTTTCTAGCCTATCCTAATAAGGATTTTTACGAGAATTGATATTCCTAGACCAGAAAAGTCTAGGCTTTAATATGTGGTGATGAGAATTGCCACATAATATTATAGTAATTTCATAGAAAAACTTTACAAAATTTAGACAATCTACGCCTATTTTTGGATCCTGCCCTAAGTAAGGAATAAACTTGTACTACGTTAATTTGCCCGCTTCCCCATAAATACGCACATCAAAAATAAGCCTTTATGTAGAAACAAGGCATAATTTTTGTGTTCTATAATAAAAATTAGAATTGTGTTAGACGATGTGGGGTATGGTATTTTATGGTCGGCTTAACCCGACTATGTGTTATTATTTGTTTTGGATGCCTGTAAATGTTAAAACCAAATAAACTTGATGATGCAGATCCCGTGATGATTTATTATTGATTTATTGATGATTCAATGATGTTTGATCTCTCCTGTATTAGTTATTTAAGTTATAATTGTCCACTCTGTACTGTCCATTCTAGGGTATAGTCCAGAATATTGATATCCTTGATATCCAGCTTTGGCTGTATAGGGACGGACTATTGAGTTATGGATTGATAAAATTGATTGATTGAATGATTGCGCCTATTTGGGTATTGTATGTAACAGAATTACGATATGTTGTTGAGGGTTAATGGAGACTTAGACAGATGAATAAGAAACAATTATATAAGTAAACTTTCTTTTCAAATGAGAACCACAATGCCAGAGTGAAAGTGTTGATGAATTTTAACGTACAAACGAACACACACCAGAAGATCTATTAGAAGGCGATTATATTAAAATATAAAAAAGATTATGTAAAATATAAATGCTAATTAATTTAATAATTATATCGTTTATAAATAGCAACCAAATTAATAATATTTTTTTTTTTATTTAATTCTGCCCGCAGCATTTTTATTTTGTTTATGTTTCTATGGTACGTGTTTCATCCTGATGTATGGAATTTTTTACTAAAAATTCAGACGGATATGTGAATGGATGCATATTTATTTATTTAGATATCTATCAAATAATTCCTTTAATATTATACAGTTATTATTATTTTTTATTTATTTGAAGATCAGAAAGTTCCTGTGTGCAGTTCCTAATGCATTTAATTCAACGGTAAGAGCTAAACAGAATTCATTATTCTGTCGGCTCCTTTCCGGTACTGGTGGTTTGTAGTGTGTCTTTAAGATTGCCCCTTTCGCTGCCATATGCTGAGCTTGCTTTATTTTACAACTTTCAGCTATTTTCAGCTCATCGACTAATTTAGTTTGCAACGTGCAGGTCCAATTACGTTGGTCAAGCAATATCGGAACGAAATCTAACAATTAAAAACATCCTCATAGTCTTTATTACTCTATAGAATTAAACTTTGGTCTAATTTTTAACCCTTTTAAGAGAGCAAGGAGTTACTTTTAATAAATAAGAAAACTGGTGAAAGAAATTTTCTCCAATCTGCCAATTTTGGAGTTTGTAGTTATTTTCATTTCATTTCATATTCTGTTAAGTAGTGAAAGTTTTCGATGCAATTCTGTTGAAATGCTCCAAATCTGTTAGATGGGAATTTTTAGCTGAACTTCTGTTAAATGAGAAATTTCCGCTACAATTCTGAAGTTACATGATGAACTTGATGATTGAGCACAACAAAAGAAAGGTTTAATATCCATCCGTTGGTAAAACTAAGTTATGTAATAAAAAAAATTTATATAAAAATAGAAGAGGAAACCTTCGCAATCTGCACATTCGCCGCACACACGCTTACGTGTATGTGTATGCAAGAGTGATTGCGCAGCTTTTCAGATGTTAAAACGGTTACGTTACATTTCTTATCTGGGACCCCAGTCTTGGAATAGGTCCTCTTACTTGCAGGGTTGTCCTGCAAGCCGGGACGTATCCGCAACTGTTGGTAAATTCCGTGATAACGCTACGGGTCACCTAAATTTGTAATTAATTTCAATGTCTTTACGTATCGCCTTAAGGCAAGCTGTTTCAGGCAATCATTTATTCCATCTACTGGTGTTAATCGCGAAACTACAGGTACTATATGCCTGAAATCTTCTGCAAACAGGGTGAATGCGTTACCAAATACCCTGATGTGTCCAAGCAAATCTTTCAACAAGCGCAAAAAGATCGAGCGATGTTTTGTACGCTACTGTGCACTCATCGCAAACAATATATTTCCATTGCTGCAATATTTTTCCGGATGCTTTGGAAATGTTGCATGAGCAGCGGTAATTTCAAGTCGTTCAATCAAATAGCAATGTCGCAGCAATACCAGACGAATCAAAAAACGAATCGAGTCACTGGCTGTCTTTACCAGTCCTTCCTGGCGCATTTATGAAGAACATTTTTTCAATCCCATTATTGGCATTTTGCTCACACGTTATCTGAGGAACCTCTGATTACGCACATACGACGAAAGATCAGCCGTGGAAACACATGAATAACTTTATTAAGTGAAATGACATAGGGTATTTATTGGTGGGTCCGCGACCCATTATACCGCCCCTACTTGCTATTTGTATGTTTTTTTGTGCATTTTAGAAAATAGTCGTAATATAGCAAAAAAGTTATAACATTCAAATATTTATTTCTTTTGCTTTTCAGTTGCTGCAAACAAGGTACCGATTTATTTGTTTTTTCATTCCCTTTCTTATTGTTACCGCCGAAGATGGTCTTGGTATTGAATGGTGTGCTGCAAGATGACTGTCCCATGGACACGACCAGTTTGTTTATGCAGCACCCAATTTATAGGGATTATGCACAACAACTATTTAATATTCCTACAAAATCCGTAGGACCTGTGGGACTCTTGTATATAGGCCAACGCGAAATGCCAGCAGCTGCTCCGCATGATAAGAACATTAATATCGTAGGAACAGATGATGCCACCACTTGTATTATTTTCGTGGTTCGACATTCAGGTAAGCAAGGTTACGTTTACACGTTTATGTGTCTGCTAATATCACGTTTCCTGTTTTCATTAAAGTTTGCGTCAAGGAATAATGGCATAAAGACAATTTTAAACCTTTTCTTAGATGCGTTATAATGTTTTTTATAAACACTTACCCGCACACTTGCACTCGCACTTTTCAAATAATTTCATTTCACACGCACGTACAAGAACAAACACATTTACACATTCATAAAACTGTTTAGGAAACTTTATTTATTATTATATTTCTTGTCATTTTTTTAATGAAAGGTATTTTGTTCTAAGGTTTAGGTGCAGTTGTTTTGGCGCATTTTGATGGTACTGGCGTAGATGAGGCAGTCTGTACTATGGTGGCTCGTGTACAAGAGTTAGCCTTAGGTTATCCGGAAGGACGTATAGAGTTGCAATTAATTGGTGGCTATCGCAACCCCCAAAGCTGCGGTGAAGAAGTCTTTTACAATATAATGCGTACATTTCATTAATTTCTTAAAAAAAATTGTTCATAGAAAAAATAGTTTCGGAAAGAAATTAAATTATAATTACAAGAAAATGAGAGAAATATTCATATAATTACAGAATCATTCCATAAACATCACCTTGAAATTGATTTGACCCAAGCCTGTGTGGGTGAATTAAATACGGTGTTGTTGCTTTCGAAATTTCGAACTACTGTCCAACTACTAATCACCATTAGCTAAAAATGAAGAGTGTGTTTACATATGGAATCGTTCGAATAATCCAAATAGAAGAGTCACTAGCAGTGGCATGGGCATGAAAATGCGGATGAAATCTTTGGAAAATCACTTGCCGTTGTTGAATTCATTGTTGTCTATATTACAATTGAAATTGAATAAAATATTCCAAGTTAAATAAATTATCTAAAATATTCTACAACTAAAGCGAATTTTAATCTATAGCTTTGCAAACATTTGCAATCATCGTTCTAAGTTTGACTAACTTTTACCATAAGACAAATAGCGCAATAGGTACTTAAAGTAATCTTAATATCCAATACCACAGTAAGAGAAACCCACGATAATGCAAATTGTTCATACTAACTAAATCTTGACTTGATTTTCGCCTAATAAAAAATTATTTACTTTTTAACCGAAACTCTGTGCTTCCTCCATTCTCCACACATGGTATTTTTTTTTGTGCTACGACTTGACAATTACAAAAAACGCAACGTCAGTAAGAAAAATTGTTTACATGCCGGTAATTTTATATCAATGCACTTTAATGTATGTGACAATGATGATAATTTAAGAATATTGTGTACATCTCCGTTGGGAGAAGTGCTAAGAAATGCTTTTAAGTGTTTTACTGATGAAAAAGATGCGGGTTTATTAGCTTTAACATCGTTTTGTCTTTTAATCGGCTGCTGTTAACGCCGAGTCCGACGTCTCCAACGAAGCAAAAAAAAAAAAGCAAAAACTTTTTGATGAGGAGTTCTATTATAAAGAAGGGAAGAAGAATGCGTTACCATTCTTTTTTTTTATGCTAGCGCTTTAAGAGAAAAAAATGTGTTCTCTGGCTAAATTTATAATAATAATAATAATAGTTTTACAAGTTAGCCTAAAATTAGACTGCCATAATTTTTATTGTCAAATTAAACAACGCCCTCGCTAAATTCCCTTAAAGGCACCAAATTTTATACGCTAACTCTAAAAGGCACCAATTTTGTACATATATATATTTTCCCTGGTGAAAGGCAAAGCACAGAGTCGCTTATAATAAACAAAAAAATTGCCAAAAATGGTTGAGTGCCCAACTAACAACTTAAATTGCCAGATCGTTTAATTTGCAAAGCCGCCAGCTTTATAACTCACGAAATTTGTTAAAGGAGCTTTGTAACTCACGAAATCTGTTAAAAGAGCATTGTAACTCACGAAATCTATGTTCATTGCAAAATGCAAATTGCCGTCGGCAAAACACAGATTCAATTCTGTTAAATTCAAAGTGTCGGCAAAACAAATTTGGGATATTTAGTAACTAATGTTTATTTATTTTTTATTAATAAATGCATGTTTTCATATAAAATTTCTCAATTTGTTCAATCAGAACGAGAAAGCAAAAAAGAGAAAATAGTTGTACAGACATAGATTTAAAAATAAAGAAAAAAAATTTTTTTAGTTTATTTATGAATAGACTGAATATAGAAAAAAAAAAATATTTTTTTATGAATATTAAAAAACTTGCAGTTAATTGCAAAAAGAATTAAAAAATTAATTGAAAATTTTACTAGTTAATTATTATTATTATTATTTTAAGTTTAGACTAATGAGATGAATTCTTAGACTAAAAAAAGACATTGAGCACTAGCAACACAGGCTATCGGTTCTAGTTAATTAAATTATTGCTTTTGCTAAGAAATTTTATTATTTCAAATTTGCTTTTATTGAAAGCTTTTTTTTTCTTTCGAGGACTTAAATAAGCAAAAGCTGTAATAGACCACAGCCCATCATTAAATTCTCTATACCACATCACTTAATGCAATTAATCATATAATGATATTTCAAAATAAGGCTTTATTTGAGAAGTGGTCGAAGTAGTTTGGTCCGAATCATTTTCAAAAGTCTTCATTTTTGACCCAAAACTAGTGGCATCAAATTTTATGAAAATATCTCAAAAATTTGCGACCTGTAAGGGATATGGCCAGAAATCACTTAGATAGATGAACGAACAGATAGCGAAGCGCAGTTGATTCGATCGCTATAATAGGAGTTCGCTGTATCTCAAGCCCTTATAGATGTTGTATACACACACACTTAATGTACCCTTGCATCCGATGTACCCTTGGCGATGTAAAAATCAATCATTCAAGGTACATGAAATGTAAATATAATTTTTTTACTTGAATTTAATTTTATTTTAACAAAACTTTTTATATACGTTTGCCGCACATAATTCCAAATAAATATTTCATAAAAGTACTCGCAAGAAATGCAGAGAGTAATACAAACTTATTTTATAAACATCATACATAGGTAAAATAAAAATTGAAAGAATTATTTGCCTCTTTCCCTTTAATTTTTCTTTTCCATTTCGACTCTTTTCGTAAAATATCAAGAGAGAACAACAAGAGAAACATTTGCAAATTGTTATTGAATTTGTGCAATAAAAATTTAATAAATTACTAATATTTCATGTGGATGAGAGCATATCGCATACCCGCCAAATATTTTTATTGATATTTAATTAGCAATATTTTTTATATAAAAAAAAAAAATTACAAAAAAATTTTTTTTTAAGTGTGACGGACATAATTTAGCTTCCGTTGTAAATGAATGTATTATCGAAGAGTATGGCTTTAAAACTTTAATCCGACATCAAGCTTACATACATCATTATTGAAAAAATACAACAATTTCTATATTTTTTAATTGTTCTTAATAATAAAATTTCGGCGTGGTCCGTACGGAGTCATAAATCAAATTTTTACTGTATTATAAAAGCAAAGGAGAAGAAAAATTTAATTTTTAACAAAAGCTGGGCTGCGTTTTATAAAAATATTCACATTCATTCAGTAATTCATTCATGTACTCATTTATATTCAATCACATGTATACGTTCATTCATTCATCCATCCACACTCATTCATATTCAATTGGAGAAGTCGCGTCACAAAAATTCTAAAGCATCCATGACGTTCTTCATACTCGTAGTCTTTTGATTTTCTTTTACTCTCAAGGCAACGTCAACTTTTATTGTGGAAGCTTCTCCGAATGAGCCTGCTAACGTTCATGCCAAAAGACGAATTTACTAAACATTAAGATTGGTTCATATCGTTTTCTCTTTTTTCAGCTTTTATTTCATCGAAGGTGCTTGTCGTACTTCAGCCAGTTGACTATGCGGATCAAAGGCTTCTTGATAGTTCTTAAGCTTCTTAGGTTCTCGCAAGGATTGTCATGAAGATCCTAATCGCCAGCAGCAAACTATCTGAGCCTATGTTGGCGCTTGCTGTGATGTTGCTTCATCAGATCTCCATAAAGATAGTAAATTTTCTTCCATGAAAATGAAAATCTTTCTCTATGACGTATGAGCGAACATGCCGGTATCTAATGCTCAATGTCTTTCTTTTTAGTCTAAGAATTTATTTCATTAGTCTAAAATTATAATGATAACAATAATAATAATATATCGTTTTCCGGCATAGTTTACAAGTTAGAAGAAAAAAACCCAAAAGCAGATATAGGTTATATAATCACGAAAATAATCTTGGGCTGTGATGGATGTTTTCTTCAGGAGGCGCTGGTAGCGAACGATTAAACACTTCAACACTTTATTTAAAAAATTAAAATAAAAGCAAGATCGAAAGAACATTCCAAATAACTCGATATTCATTTAAATTCCGCGTCCTTACTTCAATAATTCACTTGTCGTTATGTAGAAGTTCGTGCGTGCACACATTTGAGTATATTTATGGTCGGAGATATTTTGACTTAAGTTCACTTTGTACTTAAAACTTTAAGCATGAAAATATTCATGAAAAAATTTGTTGAAGTGTTGTTTTTCGTGCTTTCCATATCGTTGGCCTTTTCCAGTATTGTTCGATTGCATTATCTGATATGCGATTTTCTAATTACCATTATTGGATTTTCCCTACATTAAAGTTTCTTCATTGTATAGCCGATATTCGCTGCAATTAAGCAACAGTTTGGTTCGTAACAACACGCCTACCTACCAATTTCCCTCAACGGACTTTTTACTTCTTAGCACAGAACTCGATGTATTGAGCGATCTTGAAAGCTATGAAATGAAAAGCTCACAGCTTTAGTTACGGTAGCTTTCGTAAAATAGGGAACATTTATCCCATCTTAGAAGTATATCTCTGCTCCAGAAGATATTTATATACTAGGCGCAATGGGGCTTCATTTACATAATCTTTCAATTTATACAAAGTATTTCCTAGCAAACTTGCTTTCACACGGCAATTACTAACTAGCCCTAGAAGTCGTCGAGGCAGATGGCGTGGGAGATGTCGTGGCAGACGCGGCGGGCGTAGAAATTCCGTAGTCCCAAGAAGCAGACGTGTCATTATCAACAAGATATATTGTTGATTTGTTAAATAATATGGCTTTCAGTGTTTTTATTTGTATTAATATTCCAACTCATCCCTTTATATTTCAGGGAAAAGTCTCTCGAGCAATACTCAACACAAATATTTATTTGTAGTTAAATAAATACTTACAAATCAGCTGTCGTCAAAATAGTTGCCGATCGTTAGGTTATAGAAAATCAAAACCAGATGCTTTATAATTCTAATTCGTGTAAAATGCTTAAAATCTATGTATTTTATTATTACATAAATAATATATAATAATATAATTGCATTTAATAATTAACACAAGTTTTTGAATTCACTTAAACCTAGCGAACCATGTGAACCAGTACCCCAAATATAAACGGAACTTTCCACGCTTAAAGCCAAAACATGCGCTTGGATATTTTTAACTTTGATGTTTTCAACTTTTTTTCACTTTTTTTCAACTTTTTTTCACTTCAATTTACTATCCGAAAAGAATATTCAGCAATTTATGTGAAGAAATATTGAAAATTGCAAATTGTCTTCAAATAAGGAAGGCGAAGCTTTAGAAATAGTTCGATATAATAAATTTCATTCAGAAACTGTCTCTTTCAGATGAATGATAATAATCGCCTACATAAACATCATAAGTTTCTTGTTCTTGTTTAAGTT